GTTTCATTGACTTTTTAAATGGAAATTCCTTCACTTAGCTTGGCATGCAATCTGGAAGTGCCATAAATCATGAGAAGGAGTTACGCGTTCCGAGAATAAACTTAAAAAAATGTTAAATTAACTCCCATAACTCTTTATCAAATATTAATGTGGGAAATTTTATACTATTTATACTCTTAAACGAGAACAAGTTTGGAAAATCCAAGAAATAGTTGGTGTATTCTCTTGTTAGTTTTCGCTGAAAACTCTAATGGACTTCTTGGAGCTCTTTTTTTTTAATTTCCTCGCAACCCCACTATTAGCACTACTACACCATTCGCCTTTTCGAACTGACATGCGGCAGGCTGCCTGGAACTTTTTCAACTGTCAATTAAAAGCGAAACTAATTAAACTTGGCAACATTGGGGCCGTCGAGACGCGTAATTAATCGACACATATATACCGGTCTCAAAAAACGCCCACGATGGAAATATTGGGCGGCAATGCTAATGCAACAAACGCTTAAAGTTTAATTAAACTTTTCCACAAACAACGAGTCATGTTTCCAATGAGGATGACGACCATTATTAATCAATTTGGTGATTTTGTTAGGCAAAAGGGATTTAACCAAGTGCCTTAGCTGCAAAGAACAAAAAACTTCCGAGTGCAAACAAAATTATATCCCTTTTTCCTTGAGTTAAATTCGTTTCTAGTTACAAAACTCTGTCCAGTGAGAAGTACAATAGAAAAAGGTGATTGTCATCATTGGTGAAAACTAGGCAGTAGAAGGCAAAAACAAAAGAAACATCAAATAATGAAATACTTACAAAACGAAAAAATTTTTTAAAAACTAAATTTTGTTTTTTTAAATGGTTTTTATTTTTTTATTTTTTATTTATTTAAAGATTAGGTCATATCCAATTCCGAATAACTTCACAAAAAAAGGGTATAGAAAGAACAAAGCGCTAAAAACAATATGGCGTCACTTCCGGTCGCGTATTAGCGACAGCCAGGCAGCAGGGAGCTTACTTCTGGATTAGAGAAATGGAATATTGCATTGTCATGAAGCGTGCCGCAGCTTAGTGACTGTCATTGTAGTGGCTGCCACTTTTTCCCATTGTCTGGGCGTCATCATCATTAACTTCAGGACGGAGCGGGCCAGAAAATTTGATCGATATACACCTTGGCCCGAGGTCAGGCTAGAAATCATTTTAAATTCGCCAAGCCCATGGGCAGTTTCGAAATCAAATTAGATTAATGAGCTTGGCGGGCCACAAAGACAGCTAACCAGATAAAAAAAAACACCAAAACTAGAACCAAGACCTAAACCAATCCGAGGTGAACAGAGCACTCATTATGCGCCGCACGAGTTCGATTTGATGCTCATTTACTTGTTTGTCTGCCCCATGATTTTTCTTTCAGCCGGAATTCCCTTTTTTCTTTCGTTTTTACAAGCCAGCACCCGATGCTGGCCGGTGTTGTCTCCTTCTCGTAGCTGGCTCACCGCAATAATTGGAAAAGTTTTCATTTGAACGCCATCAACGACAGCGGCAACAGCATCAGCCACAGCAACAAGAACAAGAACAATGGGGCGTGTTACTACAACAAGAAAATTGCGGTTCCACCAACAACACCAAAAGTTTCCCCAGCAGTAGCATCCAGCAGCGGCTGAAGCAACAACAACGCCAGCAAAAAGTCATCAAAAGGCTACTAAAGGTTGACGCAGGCAATAGCCAGTGTCCCCCACTGTTCGTCCTTCTCATTCTCCATTCCCCGTATCAGGAACAACTCCATCCCACTCCTTTAACATCGATGCTGCACTGAGAAAAGTTCTACATAGATCTAGGCGGGGATACTAAGAGACAGCTTTATACTAGCTTTATATTGAGAAATATTTTTTTTACAGTGCCTGCCCATCTTCAACCAGGCATCCTCATTCTGTCCTGCAACTTTTTGCGGCCATCGCACGCTCTCATAGATTTGGCACGCAACGGACCACGAAAACGAAACGAAAACACTTTACCCACAGAAAAGAAAGAGAAGGGGAGGCCGCAAGAAAGAGAGATGGATATAGTCTCCAATTGGAGACCAAGGACCCAGGTCATGCTCTTCTTTTGTCCAGATGACTCGCCTGCATTCTGCGATGCGCTGCCTTATGAAAAGGGTTTTTCTAAAGACTCCCTGGCTTGAACTCGTATGTCTTAAGGGGTCCTTTTAGTTTTCGAATATATTGGCTTTCAAATAAAAATAACTTTTGAAAATCTAATAAATTTAAAGGGAGGCGGAGCTATGAAAGCTGTAATTCGTAGGGACTTTATTTATTTATAAATAAAAAAACAAACAAATAAGTAGTTAGAATGTTACGTAGTCGCCTAGTTGCATTCTTGTGTTCGTCCAGGAATTGCAGTTTGCCTACAATGATTCAAGTTTTCATTATCAGCTCTGGCACTTCGCACTTTTCACCGGCCAAGTTAGACCGTCCCGTGTTGCTCCAGCGCCTCTTCCCGGCCACCTTCCACCCTAACTGAATCTCCTGGCCAACTTTTAACCGCCCAACCCATTTTGAAGCGAACGTCAGCATGGAGAAGCAGCAGCAGCAGCAGCAGTTAAATGTGAAAAGTTCCATTTCGGGTGGATTACGTCGTTTATCCTGGCAAACAGGCACACAGAGACTCGGACCACACGCACATATACGAATAAGCAGGCTCGCTCATACACCCGACTCAAAGAGGAGGAACAAACCCTGGCCCAGGATAATCATCCCGAATGGGGAAACCGTTTTCGATCCGACGCAGAACAAATGCATTTTCGACGCGCTTCAAATGCGCCGCCAACCTATACTTCCGCCCATGCCACTCTTTCGGCCCGAAAAAGAAAAACCAATGAAAATGTTTGCACCGCTCAAAATGCTCTTGGATCCCATGATGCTAGCTGGGGGTTCGGTGTTTTCGGAGGCGGCAAATAGAGTGGTAGTGGAGCTGTTATAGCAAATGCTAATGAAAAGTTCCTGGTTACCAAATTCTGGCTCTGGTTGCGGTTCAGGATTGGGTATTAGTTTCTCGTAGCTATTGAAACCAACTAAAAACTAGGCTGTTTCTTTTTGACATTTTTGTTTTTGAAACTTAAAGTCTAAAATTTAATTAGTAATTTTACTTTACTTACTTTATTCAAATTTTAAGACTTTTCCCTTACGATTTAAAACAATTCCCCAAAAGGTTTTAATTAGTAGCATGCGTTTTACTTCTCCGCCGAGAATCAAAAGGAAGACCACACCAGTTACATTACAATGAAAGTGTGCTTTCTTTACAATGCTCCTTTCTAATTTCCTTCCGACTCATTTGTTTCCACTCGCTACCGCTGCCAGTTATCTTTCGGCACTCAACACCTCCACCTTCGAGTCCACCGACACACACATTGCCGGCAATGTTGTGCCAATAAACCCACTCAACTCCTGAGCCACTCCCAAAATGGATATGGGGCTATAGGGGCTATGGGAGGAAACTGGAGCTCCTGTAGATTTGCTTACAGCTTGCAATGCCATGCAATTTAGTTGAATTACCAAGTGAAACAATGGCGTCTGTTAATTGGTTTCCTTTGTCCTCGGCCCTCGGTAATGGGGTTGCATCCGCTTTGGACCCGAATCCAACTTCTCCCTACCGCCCATTCCATCATCTGCTGCTGCCCCTGGGCTGTGGCTGGGGCTGCTGTTTGCCAATTGCTAGAAGAATTTAAAATTGTCTTTGCCGAGGCAAATTTATTAAACAAACAAAAAGCCAAAGTCGAGAACTTTTGGTAGAGGCGGCCAGGCACCCCCAAGAGTGAGGTGGGCCACAAGATCGAGCCTTCAAGCAGCAAGTGAAGTGCAGCCATGAAAATTTGCATTTTGCACTAACTAACCTAAGGACAGGAGCTTGGACCATGGACCGAGGGCGACAGCTGACAGCCCGGTCAGTGCTAATGAATGTCAAGTCTCAGATCTTTCGAATGCACTTGCAAAAAGTTTTAGTATTTTTATTATATATTCGATGTTTAACTGACAGTAAACAAATATGATGGTTTGTAATCGAGATCGTATTTCTCAAAAAAATTACTTTTATGTTTAAACAATAATATTTAAATTTTCCTAGTAATTTTTGATTTTGTTTAATGAATTTCTGGTGTATGGCTGACTCGTCCCTTAAGTTTCGTGGTACTTTCCCCAGACTTATCCGAATGTGACTTGGACTTGCTTGCTTATCTTTATGATGGCGCATAACTAAATGGCCAATCAGAGGAGCTGCAGCTGACAAATGATTGTCTTGACTGTTCCAAGACAAAATCTTCCTTTTGCTTCAGACCCGTGGCCAGTCTTGACTTCTGGCCAACCATTTTCGGGTTTGTGTTTTGAGAAATTTAAGCTCACTGTTCAGCATGAATTAGTTGGTTGTTTGCATTATTCCGAAGACTCAGGCTGCAGTCCGCTTAATTGTTCTTTGATATTCCCCAAGAGGTGATTTAAATTTTCAAAAAAGAGCCCTGTGTAAAAATTTTACAATAAATTTCACATTGTTTGTTAAAGGTTTTTGTATTTCACCATTCTTATTAAAACCAAAGTTTTTTTGCCTAAACACTTTCGAATAATTTGGCTATATTATAACCTGATTCAGTACCGTCCCCGAATGTCACTAAAAGTTTAGCAGAAAGGGGTATTCAGCTCATACAAACTAATACAAACTCGTGAAGTAGTTTGTTTGTCTTGAAAGAAGGTTCAATTTCATCATTAGCCGCTGTGGGACCGTAAGTCGGCGGACATATAGTGTGTTTGGAATACCCTCGTTTTAAATGAGATTAATTCTCTGCGCTCTTTCGATTCCATAGAGAATTCTCTTTTTTATAGGGGTATTAACGATGAAAATGCAAAAGTTATTCCTTCATAAGCATGATACGCTACTTTTCGAATCCAAAAAAGCTCACTGGCTATCTACTAAAGCTCAACTTATAAAAAGAGTCTTGGTGATCGGCATTTTTAGTCGTTGCTTGAGACTCGTCGAGTAACTATGAGATTTTTTACTATCGTTGCCGTTGTGTTTTGTGCGCTCAGCGCCCAGATGCTCGAAACCGAGAGCGCCAAGATATTGGCGACTCTGCCGTTTCCGGGTCGGTCGCAGTACATCTTTGTGGAGTCCTATTTCAAGGCTTTGGCCGACAAAGGTCACCAGGTCACTGTGATCAACGCTTTCAAGAATAAGCCGTATCCGAACATAAGGTTCATCGAGGCCCTTAAAGTTCACGAATACAATGATGGTATGTTATCAGTTACAGAGCCTAATACAAGGGCTTTTTAAAGCAGAAGTACAACAGTAACTTTTATTCTCGCTTTTAAATTGTAGAAATGTTGGGCTCGCTGAATGAACCTACTCTGTGGCAACAACTAAACGCGTTTGACGGTATGATGATCAAAATTACGGAAATTACTTTGGAAGATGAAGGTGTTAAGAAGCTACTGGACTCTGGAGAGACCTTCGATCTTGTGCTGGCAGAGATGCTTCAAATGGAACCTCTTTATGCCCTAGCGCAGCACTTCAACGCAACTTTGGCGGGCTTTTCGAGTTTCGGAGCAGATGAGAAGGTCGACGAAGCCTTCGGAAATATATCCCCGCTGTCCTATAACCCACTAGTGACCTCTCCCCGTACCAGTAAAATGACATTTTTGGAACGTCTGGAGAACCAATACGAAGCTGCTGTAGAGTTAATTCACCGCCATTGGGTTCATCTGCCAAAAATGCAAAAGGTTTACAAAAAGTATTTCCCGAACGCCAAGAAAACAATGGAAGAGGCTATGGATAGTTTTTCCCTGGTTCTGCTGGGTCAGCACTTTTCTCTGAGCCACCCACGGCCCTTTTTGCCCAACATGATTGAGGTGGGCGGACTGCACATTTCCCACAAACCGAAGCCGCTGCCCGAGGACATTAAAACGTTTATTGAAGAATCAAAACATGGAGTGATCTACTTCTCCATGGGATCGAATGTGAAGAGCAAGGATCTTCCGCAGGAGACCCGGGAAACGTTACTGAAAACATTTGCCAAGCTGAAGCAGCGAGTGTTGTGGAAATTCGAGGACGATGATATGCCGGAAAAACCAGACAACGTATTGATTAAGAAGTGGTATCCCCAACCCGACATCCTAGCACACCCCAATGTAAAAATGTTCATCACCCATGGAGGCTTGTTGAGCACCATAGAAAGTATTTATTTTGGAAAGCCCGTGCTGGGCTTGCCGGTCTTCTATGACCAGTTCATGAATGTTGGACGCGCCCAGAGAATTGGTTTCGGATTGGGACTAGATCTAAACAATCTAAAGCAATCAGAATTGGAAGAGTCTATCCAAAAGATTTTATCTACGCCCAGTTTTGCAAAAGTGGCAGCTTCCCTCGGAGAGCAGTATCGGGATCAGCCGCAACCTGCTTTGGAACGCGCTGTCTGGTGGACGGAGTATGTACTCCGACACAAGGGTGCCCCTCATCTGCGATCATCAGCCAGGGATCTTAACTTCTTCCAGCTTCACAGTCTGGATACCCTGGCAGTACTTTTGGGAGTACCTATTCTGGCTATTCTCATCCTCATCAAACTGTCCAGTAAATTGATTCGAAGCAAACCTAAAAAGTGCCCCCACGCTGATAAGCTAAAAAAACAGTAGAGCTTTGTTTATTGTTTGCTGTTTTAAGTGCCTCGTAGTCTTATCAGTCTTATCGCCTTCGCTTGTTGAAAATATATTATTTTTATTGCCATAATTTAGATTGTTCTATCATTGATAAGGAGTATGTGACGTATTGGGGTTGAATGTTTCGGGGAACACCGCCTTGGACTCCTATGGGTTTTGATAATCAGAGCAGAGCACCCAAAATGTAGTGCTCTGCCTGCTGAAGGTAATGAACTTTTCCGATTACAGTCAGCAGAAACCTGGTTTCTTCAAACATTGATATTGGACAGTTTTCGCTTCATGACCCAAAAGACTGGAGTTATGTCTGAAAGAAAAAGATAATTAAATAAATAAATAATAGATAATAGCCGATGAGAGTTACACCTTAAGCCCTTTCGATTTTTTTTTAATAATTCGAAAGCCCCTTTTTTACTAACACATTGAACCGCTTTAAAGCTTTTATTTTCTAAAAAAAAAAGGTATATAAATAATATTCATCCCATTCGCATAATTTAAACATTTTCGCCAGCCGCAAAAATTGAGTCCTTAGCAATATAAATCTATTGCCAAATCCGACGATGCCATATCAATATTGCAATTGATTTTAAGCTGTTGTTAAATGCACATAACGTTGAAAGACGGAGTGAAAGGCCTCGCATTTCCATTGTGAAACTTTTCCCGGGCTGGAGAATATTTGCATACACTCGCATTACTTGTCCCCCGAAAGTCCAAGAGCGAAAGGGCGATAAATGGTGACGGGCCAGAACAGGATAAAAGAAGAAGGCCAAAAGGAGTGGAAATGGAATCGCCGAAAACTTTTGGCTTTGTGGCAGGCATCGACCTTCCCCCTTTGCCGGCTCTTGGCTCGGCTATAAGTCAATAAGCGAGTGTTGAGCTGCAAAGCGGCGCAACTTTTGGCCGCTTTTGAAAAATGAACTCAGCAGCGGCATTCGAGGGAGCGGTGCCCGTCGTTTGTCTGCCAAGTTTATAGCAGCGCATAAATCGGCTGGCATTGATGACAGGCAGCAGCTCACACACTAAATCAATTATGATTAAAGCTCATTACATTTGCAGCACACGACTTGGGCGCCACGACAGCCACAAACTTGTGCGGAAATTGCATGGAGCGCAGGGTTGGGGTTGCGGGCACAGCTCTAGGCGCCCGGCATGACAGGGTCTTGGGTGCACGTTTTTGGGGTGTGGTGGCACCCAGCAATGACAATGATTTGCTTTGCCATCGATTGCTGCAATGCCCACTAATGCATGCGCCATGTCACTAATTTTGAATGCACTGGGCGCCTGGCCCACAAAAGCAGCGGTGGATATTCGGTTTATAATTGAGAGGATAATTAGATGAGTGTCAAGGGTCTTGGACCCAGTCTCGGAGAATTGGCCATAACAATCCAATCCTCCTTTACTTCCAAACCCAGTACCGTCAATAAACCTGTTTAGTGTTTATTTTGAATAGAAAAACATTATCGTTTGGAAATTAAGAGAATTTCTTTTGTTATTTTAGTTTTCAAGACAACTCGTGTGTATACAGTGGCCTACATTTTACCAAAAATTTAGGAAAATTATTCACCAGGCCGACAGGAATTTACTTAGCCGACATGGCCACATCATGAAACAATACAAATTGCGATGCAGATCAGGGAGAGGGGAAAGTCCTGGCTGAAAGATAAAAGTCTATCGAAGTTAATGACAGCGTCAGCTTTCTTTAGAATCAACTTACTCTGCTTCACTGGCAAATGTGGGGAATAAAGGAAGACGCTCTGTATTATTTAGCTTGCGTTTATTTCTCATTCAATATTTGTTTTGTGTGTTGAAAGACAAACTCCCCCACACACACAGCAGTACACGAACACACGGCTGACACGGCGTAAGGATATTTTATACTGGCGTATGTCTATGTGTTGGTGTTGCTTCATATAGAGGCCTTCTCACTCTGTATATAAATGCCTACTTATAACGACATTTAATTTCAAAGCACGCACGCACAGGACGAGCCTGCAATATTGAATATTGAAGCGACTTCCACAGATACTTACTCAGAGCACAAGGTTGTAGTTAGGCGGGGATACAAGGATTAAGGGAAAGGTTAAATATAGTCATAGTAGTCCTAGTTCACGACTTTAAAGTCCTTCTGCTGAAACCTTTTCTATTCTGGAAAATCCATTCTCAATTGTTGTTTCAACCCACTATGCCCATTCACAGCATCAACCTCCTCCATGGGCAATGAATTCAAAATCAATGTATGACCAGGCAGCCCAGCTATGTTATCCCCTGAAACTACGCCCATGGCACGCATACCAGATAACCGCGCACACACACATACGGCGGCCCATTTGCACCTACACGATCCTGCTTATTTAGTGGCCATGAACAGGACCTGGTCATGGGCTCGGACCCGCGCTCGGTCTCGGACAGCCCGGGCCGCTTTGTTTGCTCATCGCCGCAGACAGTCAATTTATTTGCAACACATGCAACGGCGGCGGCATCCGAAAATGGCGTCTTTGCACCTTCTAATCCTGGGCGGGCTTACGTTTTTGCCCCGAGCACTCTTGGTGGCAGCCCACGTCCCATGGTCCGAGACCCTCGGGGGTCTGCGCATAAATCTCGCACGCACAACATAATTACCCGGCCAACAAACGTTGAATGACCAAGAGCGACTGTGCGGAGAGGTCGGAGCCCCCCTCGAGTGAGTAAGTTAGTGGCGTCGTGTGGCTGACTACTTACTACTTAGTGGCGAGTCTATGCCGTTAATGCCACAGTTAAGACCCAAACGACTGACGGTAAGCGGTGGCCGAAGGCTTAAAGTTGCCAAAAGTGGACTTCGACCTTCTAAGCCGGAAGTCCAACAAGTGCTGATTGATATTCCTTAAAGGAATTCAAATACATTTACCATTTAACTTGTACGTACATTTAAATAGCCACCAACAAGGCTGGAAAAATAGTAAATGTTGGCGTTTGGCAGCAAAAAGCCTCGTTTTTTCGTATTACTATGATTATTATGTAGGCCTTTTTTTATTGCTGGATAAGCCTTTCATTCTACTTAAAGTTATTAGAGCAGAAAATCACATAAACGCAAATGAAGTAAGTTTCAGGCCAGCGCCATGCTTAAAAGCGTGCAAAAAGCAGCCAAACAACTGTGTAAAGTACAGTAGCAACAACTACGAGTACAACTAACAACTGTTAACAACACAACAAAAAAATAATAATAAAAAAAAGGAGGCGAACAAAACAAGTAGGGATTCTGCGCGAGGAGGAACAATGGGGAATGCGCGCAAGGTGCAGGAGCGAGGCTTCAGCGAGAGAAAGCTGGGTTTTTGCCATTGCCAAAGCAAATATGCAAATTGTTGATTACAAACTTTTGTTGCAGCAGCTTCGCAGCACCCCCACCAATACGCTGCCGCCCATCCTTCCACTCTGGCTAAAGGAAGTGGGCTACCCTTGGTTATATAAATATTTAAGTATCTTCGCTTTGTTGCTACTGCTGGCATTCGCTGTCCGTTACTCTCCTCCCCGGCGAACGGACGAACGGGTGGCATTGAGAATTGTCTAAATTAGACTTTTGAGTATTTTGCATATTTAATTGAAATTGCATTTCTTAAATAACTCACTGTCATTTGCACAGTCGTACACGAATGCGAGTACATGTGCCGTTTATTTGTGCATTTAACTACAGTTTGCCTATCTCTGCTCCTCGGCTCTGTTCTCCACTGCGTGTATTTGTTTAGTTTTATAAGAGTTTATTCAAGTGCATGTCTTACCAAACTCTTTGTTTATTTACTTTTGCCCTGAATACAGCAGCAAGCAGCAGCAGCAGCAAGAACAAAACGGAAACTACAACAGACCGAGAAAAAAAATCCGAAACTCATTTGCAATTTGTTTAATCAACACTCGGCGCCCAAGCAGCTGCTACACCCACGCCAGCACCCACACCCACACCCATCCTCCCAAAAAGACAAGCCAACACTCACAATGCATACCCAAATCCACATTACACATACGGCACGTGTGCCCGGGTAGAGGTTCGAGCCTTGGCAGCAGTAGTCCCCTAGAGAACTTTCCGCTTGCCAGCAAAGTCAAATAAACATGCTAATTAAAAGGCGTCCAAATAAGAGAAGAAATCGGAGCAGAGAAGAGAAAAGCTGTGGGAATGTTTGACCCAATTTAATTGGTTATCCTCTGAAAGCGGCTCGCATCGGGCCTAAACAATCAAGCCGAGCCGAGAACGAATTATCCGGTACACTAGATAAAAAGCCAAAAACGTAAAAAGCTAAGTTTACGCAACAAAATTTTATAATTGCAATACATTTTAGAAGTATCTGTGCCCTGGTGGTCTTAAATTCTCACTAATTCCTACTAATAAAAGTAAAGCACACCTTAAATTGCGCCATAAAACTCATTTCAAAAACAAAACAATGTATCGCAATGCATTTCAACTATCATTTCGATTTTCTTCACTTGGCTAAGCTTTCGTTTTCATTTTCATTTTCGTTCTGATCTCTATCTAAATGCGGCTAATGAATGCTATTAATTCGCCGAGGCAACTGCAATGTCCCTCACCCGGTATGGGTGTTTTGGGGATTTCTGTGCCGATTGAAATCGGATTAATAAATGAGCGCTGCGCAGAAAAATTCAATTAGACAAGTACTGCCGGGCACAGAGAAGCCAGAAGGACCAGGAGGGGACCATCCTGTGCTGGCTTAACTACCTGTAATTTTTCTACCCTTAATACAATTATTCGCCCCGGACACGACGGGCGCCTTAATGGCCAGCGGAAGTCGCAGCTGCAGCGGATCATTTTTAAGGCTGACATTTTGTGGTTCCTCCGGCAACAGCTGCAATTGCTGCAGAAGCGGCCGCCTGTCTGATTTATGTCTGCAGTAGTTCAATTGGCAATGACAAACTTGGCAATCATTGCTGCCGAAATCAATAAAGGCCCAAGCAGAATCAGTCGAACATCAGGCTTTTAAGGAATAAGTTACAACTTTCTTACGTATACTTAATATTCCAGCACTATATGACCTTCTTATAAATCTCTATAAACAAGATATTAAGACATTTAAAGCTCTTGTCATAAAAAGG